TCTGAAATGCTTGTTTCTGACACTTTGAAAAACTGGCTAAATCTTTCTGCTTCTGGTTAAAAGGCAGTTTTACAGCAGCACTGGAGAGAAGCAGTAGTTGTATGTATGACAATGTACAGACAGTGACTTGTCAGGAAGGCAGCAGAGTGCTTCACAGCTACCATGATATTAATAGAACTCCAGGTAGGAAAGAAGTAGTTTGAACAAGAAAAGGCAGGTGATCTTCATTATATTTTCAGGCATTACCTAAAACTGTTTATCAGCTTGGTGCCTTGGCTGTCACATGAAACTAATTTGTGAAGTGCTTTAAACACTTGTATTGATCATCTTTCAACCCCCAGCCCCTCTCCCCAGAACTGCCTAAGAAGTACTTTGGGTTGGTACTGACTGCTTGATTCAGCTCACAGTGTATGTAGTATATGCCAGCAGGCACCAGCAACTGAAGGTTTGGCAGCCAAAGTTGAATTATCCTCTGCCAGATTATAACTTTTCTGAAAGCAGAGAAGTTTTACTGTAAAGGGACATCTTGAGGTTATGTATGCATTTGGGTTTGAATTTTCACTTCCTCACAACAAATGCTTAATTTTCTAGTGCTGTTAGAATAGGTACCTATTAACATCAAAAATGTAAAAATGGCAGAGTGAAGTTATGACTAGCAAACTGTTGTTTGGGTTTTTTACCTCTTGGTTTCTGTATTTATCTGGATAATAGAGGAAGAATGACCATGAATCCCTGTACTGCGGTAAATCTGGGCCAACACAAAGACATGACCCCACCACCACCACAGAAGACCCAAAAGCAAATCCTCTCCCTGCTTTAGACCCTTCAAGTTAAAACTGTAGAAGTTTAAGTTTCTACCTGTTATGTCTAAGAACCTTACGTGACCTAAACGTGTTTATGTAGAAGAAGCCTTTTTAATCAGGGTTGAGAGATGACTAATAGAAGCAGGGTATATGGAACAGAACAAGGGTGAGAGACTGTGGCTGATGAAAGAGTCATGTTGATGGGAGGAACTGACAGTTTGGTCAGTGAGCAGAGCCTGGTGTTACGCTCTGAGCCTTGCTCTAGCGAGCAAAATGGACTAAAATTGCGTTTGCTGGATGAGGGATGCTGCAACCTATCTTGGGAGTGCAGGTTTGGCCTTTCTGAAGTTGCCCACTAGTTCAGTACTTGCTGAGAAGCTGATGCAAAGAAATACAGTATTTTGATACCATAGCAGAGACGAAGAGTGCTGCAGTTCCATACTCTTTAACTGCCTTAGGGTCCTAGCTAGTGCTGCATAATGAAATAGTTGATTTAATATACTTCAGCTACTGCCTGCAGGCTGCTTGCTGTTTGTCACTGAAGCCAAATTGCTTCTCTTCTTGCCCTGCTTCCCCTCTCCTTTCATAGTGCTTTTGCAGGCTTAATTAAAAGTGTTGGCTGCAAAAGCTCTAGTTGGGTGAATGCATTTGCAGGGACATGTGTGTGTGTTTGGCTCCTGGAAATAACAGAAAGCAAATGAGTATCCTTTGTTTTATAAGTTTTGCCTAAAAGGGAACAAAGAAAAAAATCTTCAGTTATGCAAGATGCCTTTCTGCCACAATTTCTAGTTTGCGTTTCCCACGGTAACCAGGCACAATTGTTGCATGGTCTTGTTCTTGCAGAACAGGCATTACTGGAGTTGAGCACTAAAAAGAGTTTAAATTTTGGAATTAATTTTGATTTAAGAGAGTTCGTGATCCTTGTAGCTTTCTACCTGAAAATGTTTGAACCACACAATTGCTAGCAAGAATATCAATCTAAAGTATGTTCCAACTCAACACTGAGTTAATTATCAGGTGTAACATGAGGAGTTTCCAGTGGGATGGGGTTAGGTGCATTTCTATTTCCTGAACAGATGTTTAGGTGCAGCATGCATTAACTAAGTCAATGCAAATGCTTTTGAAAGTTGTACTGCATGCATTAATCACTGTGCATGCAACAGAAAATGTCCCAAATTAAGATAACTAATCAAAAGAAATTGCAGGCTATTTTCTCAAATTGAAATGAAAAGCAAGGCAGGAGTCAGATCTCTTGGTTATCCAAGGGCAGTAGAGGGAATGGGAAGAGCCTGTAAGACTGACATCCTCTGAGGAGAACAGGGGACCCTTGGTCTACAGAAAAGGTCCCCAAGGTCTGTAGAAAGGAGGGGCAGCACAGAGTATGCTGTGAGCAGCATCCACTCTGCTCTGTATAAGAAAGCAGGCCCTGCAGAGGAACGCTGAAGTCAGATGTGTCAGGGGAGCCATAGTTGCGAGGAATTCACAGCTTTATCTGCCTACAGGGAAGCGGGAGTTGGCTGTTAAGAGCATACAAGAAAGACTTGGAGGTTTTGAATGTAGGTCTGTTCCCTCAGACTGGGAAGAAGCAGTTCTGAATATTTGCTGGGATTCATCTTTCATCTTGACTACCTTTGCAATAGCTATTTAATACAGAATATATTCACACAGTAAAGTTATTACACTGCTCCCAGGAGGAGAGTTTTCCTGCTCTATTGTCTTCTATATAGATTAACTTGTAAAAGAAATACAAAGGGAGCTGATCACCACACATAACACCGGAGTGTGGTGAGCAATAAGAGCTGCTGAGAGAGTTCCCTAGAACAGCTCATTGCTTAGGCCTGAAGGTTGTGAGAGGATAGGAGAAATGAGTGTGGAGCTCTGCAGGACAGAGAAGATTTTTAGTAGGGCCCACCTTTATTTGAGAAATTCCCTCTTATCTGAAGTCGCTTGAAAAAAGGCAGGGGAGAGGAGTACATTGGTAACAAACAAAAAAACACAGGATGTGCTCCGGTTTGCACTGAGCTTGTGAAGGCACTCTCTATTGGACTTGCGATACAGGGCACTTGTGATGCTTCTTTTGGAGGAAGCCGAGACACACTCACAAAATGTGCTGGAGGAGCTCAGGCCACTAGCAGGGATGCAAAGGGAGGGTTTGGCTGCAACACCAAGTCCTTGATGATCTCTTAGAGAGCTCATGCTGCAACCTTGAGTGCCTCATCCCTATTAACAGTGCTGTGCTCATGCTGCAGCTCCCTCTCCTCCTCTGAGCAGTTTTGCCAGACACCCTGTTTAACTGCAAAGACTCCTGTGCTGTTACAGCCCAAGAGGTTTCCCTGCAGATGTACCAGTGTGAGGTGGAGTGGAGCTGATGGCCCATCATGATGAAGCATGTAGCGTGCCTAGGAAAGGAGAGGTTTTCTCTGAAGGCAGGCACAGGACTGCTTGGTACCCTGCTGTGCCTGATTAACCAACAGAGCATCCCACACCTCCTTTGGGCTGTAACAGTACTAGAACAGCTCTTCAGCATACCTACAACCGTTACCTGTACCTATGTCTTGCCTCTGTCTCTACACAGAGAGCGGATACCCTGCTGGAGTATGGCTGCTCTACTGCTGCTGCTGGAAAATGTGTTTCTGCTACTTGATGCCTTCCCTGCCCCTTTGAGCAGGCCAGGTGGCCCTGAAGCCTGGAAGGGTTTCAGAGAGCACACTACAAGCACATAACCACATACAGCAAAGTCAGGAAGGGCCTTGGAAAACAATTATACCTGCTCAAAAGATATAGTGGAATGAATGGGGTAAGCAGCCAAGAAACAGGTATTAGCCCCATATTTTTATTCCTAGAATGCAATTTAGTGAAGTAAAAAAAGCTTTTCTGGGAATTTACAAGCCCCTTCCTTCCTAGGATGCTGAGCACTGTTGCACCCTGCTGCAGTGAAGGCACAGACAGTACCCCAGGTGTGAGCACTGTGACCAACTACAGGTCACACCTACGGTCACCCGCAACATTTATCTTTGTGCGCACAGGCAGCCCATACCCGATTTCAGAAGGCACTTGGAATGCTGACAGCCAGCCTCACCCCCAGACACGGCTATCCCCCTGAGCCAGCCGGACGCAGCCACCATCTTAACACGCTGTGCAGCGGGGGCGCAATTGCAACGTGTCTGCACGCTCACCTGCTGGCCTGGCACGACCCCAGGGGAAGTGGCATCTCTGGTGATACAGCCGTACATCAGAATGCTCCAAATGGATCCCAGGATGAAAAGGCAGTTTCTGCATTCCTTTTCTAACAATTTTGGGAAATTTGAGGCAGCATGCTTTTCCTGTGAAGCCCATTATTAGCCCTACCTAGTTCCTGAGAGTCCTTAACCCCTCTAGGCTCCTGATCCTCTCATTGCTTCCTACATATACTAGCTGCAGTATACTGCTTTATACTACTCTCACCCAACCCAGAATGGTTGCCAGGAATGAGGCTTCATGGGAGAATTGTTCTCAGATACAGTGTCATCCAATTACTGTGAGCTGGTGCTACAACTTCACAGGTAAGGGCCTGGTGGCACCTCTGTACATAAAGGCCCTGACTCTGTGAGGTGACCTTCTGTCTCAAAGAGGATGTGGTCTGCCCAGACTGGGCTTGGCTCCTGCTCCAGCTACATGAGCAAGCCTGCCATTCCAGACTTCTGACCAAACTCCAAGCTTGGTGTGGACTTGGTTAGGAAAGACTATGACAAATTAACAGCGACATTCAGCCTTGCTCCTAGACCAGGAAAGGGGCTGTGTTCTACCCATGCTGCCTTTTAAGGGGAATGGTGGTGGCAGGGCAGTGACACACTGCCATCATCTGAAAAGGACAAAGTTTAGCATGGCACAGCTGAAAGGACTGACTGTGAGTGGGGAAACAGCTGCTCCTTGGATCACTTCCACCCACAGATGTAGTAGGGACTCAGACCAAAGCTACTCCAGACAAAGCCCCAGGCCACCTGTAGTGTCAGCTTCTCAACACCAGCTGCTTCATCACTCTGTTAATCCACCTTGTTGCACCAGCCTCCTTGCCAACACTGATGTAACCAGAGCTAAGTGGTGGCTGACTGAGTCAGAGAAGCCTTTTGACAACAAACTCAGCTAGAGACAGACCCTTGTCAAAAGTTACCAGCTTTTCAAAGCTTATAGCTAGATTTCAAAGAGGCTGAATACTGCTGAAGGAGTTATTAAGCATTCAGCTTTTATTTACAAGATGTCTGAGATGTATGCAGTGAGATTTGCTGAACCTGCTGAAGAAGGTTCAGAATTTCACGGGTAAAGCAGATGCAACAGCAGCATATAGTGACTCAACATCATGGTGACTGGTGCAAAAATTTTCAAGTTGTGTATAGGCTGGCAGCTTTGCAGACCAGGTCTGAGCAGAATATTGTGTCAGTTATAGGAGAAGTGGTAGAGATCCTGTTTGACAGCCATGAGTAAGCCAGGAACTCCTTGGCTACCCCCAAGTCTTGAAGAAAACACCACACTAGGAATGGCATCTTTGGAGGATGGGTGGGGAGAAGGGATAGTTCTAAGCAGGTGAGCATCTTGGAGACTCCAAATTCTGGTGTAGCAATCCTGACCAACTGGAAAGGAAAGGAGACCAGAGTTCAACATTACACAGTAAGTACTTCACACAGCTCTGCAAGATTATTATCACAGAAGCAGAAGGTCTATGGGGAAAAAATCCTGAGGCAATGTGCTTAGCAATACTCTATGAAATAGACATTCTACACCGAATACTGCAAAGGCAGGAAAAATGTGCATTAGGCAATAAGTTATGGTAAATCAGTAGTTAGATTGCTTTCCTCATTATCAATCTCCTAAGCCAAAAAAAGGGGAGAAAAACTCACTGTCAAATTAACAAGAATTCTTCTCATTATTCTGTCACCTATTGACAAATCCAAGGAGAGCAAGGTCACTATGTTTACAGTGACAATGTGAAACTTGGCTAATACTATGAGGGTTTAGGGATTTTGCTTCATTTGTTGTTACCTTTCCAGCCCCAACCACAAATAAAATTTAAAAAAAAATAAAGTCTCAGACTGTAGCCAAGTATATTCAAAATGAACTCGAGTGGTACAGACAGTTTAGAAGGAGTTATGCTTACACGCCAGTGCTTCAGTCCATCACCACCCTACCCACTTAAGCACCAAACAAATGTATACACGGTCTTTAGTCTCTGTATAAAGTTATCACCAAATCTCTAGTTTACAGGTTGTTTCCTTGGATTTCAAAATCAAGTGTTTTCAGCTCTACTCTCAAGATACCCTGTGGAAAGCATAATGGGACTTTTGCAGGACACAGCAGATAAAGCTGTTAAGTGCTACATAGAAGCAATTACAGTAGGTGTGCATCCGTTAACATTATTTCTTAATTTTCACAGTGTATTACACTATGTTTAAGGCTAAATTTCTTCTGAATTTTTAAAGAATTTACAGCTTTACAGCTTCCAACAACTGTAGCTAAGAAACACTCCTCAGGCGTAAGAGGATCACTGCCATGCAGTCTACAAGTAGAGGGGGAAAAAGTCAACCCACCTGCTGTAAGAAGCCCTTCCTCCTCATTTACATGCAAAGGGAGAATAGCATACTCATTGTGATGACCTTTGTACTCTTTCACACACTTTGCTGTTCTCAGGTCCCACAGTTTTATCTGCAAGTTGAAGTAGTTGTTTGAAAGAAGATATATTAACAAAGCAGAGAGTACTTGACAGTTGATAAGTGGATCTGGAAGAGGACCCACATACGGAACTACCACCCAGTTCCATACCACCCCCCAAAGAACAGGCATCCACCCTCAGGACTGGGAGAAGTACCCAGATACTAAAAGGACCAGAATATCCTAAACGCAACAAAACCATACCTTTCCAGCCATATCTGCTGCCATAAGATAATGTTCATCCTCAAGAAGGCGAATAGATGTAACTGCTGAGTCATGGAAGAAACGAATTGCTTTCCAGCTCTGGCCCTTCCGGTTGCGTTGACGCACATCAATGCTAAAAATCTCACCGGAACGGCAGCCATTGTACAGCATTGGGGTCTGGAAAAATCCAAGAGGAAGAAGCATACTATGTAACATCTCAAATGATCTTACAAGCTACACAGACAGAATCCACATCAAGTTTTTTTTTTTTTTTTTTTTTTTTTTTTTTTTTTTTACACACTGCAACATTTTTCAGCCAACTCATTAGTTCCATTCAAACCTCAATGCTTTACTTTAGCTGTAAAAGTTCTGCTAGGTAAACTGGAACTTAGTCTAATGTAACAGCAAAACAGGAACTGGAATTCTCATACTCTAATTTTACCTTTCCCACTAAATCTTTGTGAACAAGTCCATTAGTATTTTATAGGTGTTCCCTCCATCTTGATGGAGACAATACACTGAGTGTTAACAAAAATAGGTCATTTGTCAAAATCCAAACAATTTTACAACGCATTATTACTATGCTCTTTGTACTGCCTTCATTTTCTTTTCACCTCTGTACAATTAACAAAAATTAATAACTCTGTGTTGCCACAGAGTTTGAAAACATTTCCTTTTTTGTTGCTATTCGATTGTGTGCAAGCATCAGACCACATCAGCTCTGTTGTGGAACAGCTATCTGACATTAATTGTAATCACAACCTTATGTACAGCATGATGAGTCCCATCACAAACAGAACAAAACTCCGACCAATGAGGCACCGCTCTGAAAAAATGAAGGGTGTATGGTTGTTCTTACCTGTGTGGCAAACTGTTGTGCCAATACATCGCTACTGGTTCCAAATGTCTGCCGATGCCCTGTCACTACATTGGTCACAAGCACTCGTCTTGTCAGGCCTAAGGAAGACAGATTATATTTGTTTAGCTGTAACCCGGGTAGCTGCTGGGTGATTAATGCAAGAAGTCTTTCGCACTGAGATAGGAGGGGCTGCGAGCCTTGTGGATCACCTGTGCTGAAGCAGTTGTCTGCCTGGGGATTCAGGCACCAAGCACAGGACCAGGCAGTGGATATCTTGAAACTGCACAGCATTCCAGGTCGGTCTCCTAGGAGAGGAGCAACACATGACATATCCATAAAATGTTAGGACAGGATGGTAAATCAGAAAGCTTCTCTCTATTTCCATACTTCTTTCAACTTTTCAATCTGAAGCAGAGAAAACATTACACAATTAGTGTCCCTGTGCTGCTCAAGAGACAGGAAACAGAAATGGGACTTCATGACTAAGCTGAAGACTTATAGTCTGTGAGAGACTGTGAAATTTATTCAGTAGTCAGAGGAATGACCGTGGCAGGGAAGAGAAAAACAACACTTGCCTTACAAGATGAAAGTTAATTTTGCCTTACAGTAAACCACCTTGTTTTAGACAGGTTAAGTTCTACTTTGCTCCCAGCATCTACTTAGCAAGGTTCCCTCAAACCAACAATTTTGGAGAGTGAAGTCAGTCAAAAAACTTGGAAATACCTAAAACAGTCAATAGAAAATACTAGACAGGAACTTTGGTGAAACTCAGGGCATCTGATTATGGTGAAGGGCTCAAAATGCTATATAGAGCAACTGGGCATGCTGGCCTAGGAGTCATCCATCTTCAGTGACTCTTCAGGTTCATGGCAACTCTCTGCATTTTTTTTTTTTTAATGGCTACATAAATGATATTTAACATGGGTCCATAACTCTTTTTTATCAATCACAGATTTCCTCTATATAAACTTAACTGATCATGTCTGAATGGAAACCGGGTTAAAGGACTACTGTGTGACTTGAAGAAGCATTGTTCTGACATCTATCAAGAAAGTTCAATTAATAAAGTCCTGCCCCCAAAAAACATTGAACAAATATATAAAGATACAGCTACAGCCATCAGACTTAAGGCATAGGGTTCTTCAAATCAATCATGCTCATACACAACTGAGCATGAGCTTGTACAAGGAAGTATGGGCTGAGACACGTACCAGCTTTCCCCCTTTGATTAATCCACTGAGCTTACCTGAGTAGCTACCGTGAGAACGGATTCTGCAGTGATTCTAGGTAGTCTAGGAGGAAATTTTAGTACTTATTGCATGTAGCTTCTGAGTATTACTTACAGGCCAAGCTATGAAAAAAATCTCAAATGCTTACTTTATAAGTGAGGTGTTTTCCTGCCAAAGTCAAGTACATCATCAGCAGCTACAAATAAAACTAGTGCTTTGAATACTGCTTGTTAATTAATTCTTAAGGCAAGTTCTTTCATCTGTTCACTTGTTACACTGTTTCAGACTTTCCAAGTTTTACAAGAATACAACAGTCTCACTACTGAAGGAAGTGTGGAAATAATCTTTCCTTTGTGCTCGTTTCATACCATAACTGCTACTGAAAACTAGAGAAAAAAACACCCAACAAAAACACCCTACCTGGGTTAGTGCTGCTGAATAACGATGCTGGAAGCAGACTGGCACAGCCTGGTGTTTCTGCAATTCCCATGAGACACAGCTTGCTTAAGTGAGTTAAGGAAAACAAAGATTTCTCCCTAGAATGCAACCGGTTGCCTAAAATCTATAGCTGGGGAAAGCAAGACACACCCACAGATCTTAAAGGGAAAGTATGGTGATCTTTGATGTGTCTTAGAGTTTACAATTAAGTCTTGACTTTTCATTTCTTTCATAGGAAAGAGCTAGAAAGAACTCAAATTCTTGCTTGTGTATTTTCACTTCCAGAAAGACAAAGAGGAATACTAAGGTAGCTTATTAGCCATAGAGAAAAAATGCATGGCCTACATGAATCATTCTTATCTTTACATGCTGATGACACTGCATTAATATAGATGTTTTTCATGGAGATAAGCCGGAAAAAAGGGGAGCACACATTGGGGAGGCAAAGAAGACTCACTTTAGTTTACATTAAAATACTTTCCAAAGATTTTACCAGGTTTAAATAGGATTTGAAAACTGCATTTCAAGTTCAGTGGAGTAAATCTGACATGACTAGAGGAAAGCACGAAATAACCAAACCAAACAATCCCTAACTCCTACCCAGCTGTGAGCAAGCCTGATTAACTTCTGCCACCTTCTGGATCAGTCCTGAATCGCTTGGCTTTTCCCATGAGCCATAATTTCCTATTTTGGCACTTCAACAGCACTTCTGTTGCCTGCCACCTCCCACGTTAAAATCCCCTTTACTTCCTTCCTCCGTGCTCTGCACTGTCCACTACTGCTTGCTCTACTACACCATCAACCTTCCTCTTCTCCTGAGACAGATCTGCAGAACATGCTTTGAAAGTTGCAGAGCATTATGCCAATGGCTTGCTCCCATTCTCCTCTTGCCCCAACCAATATGGGGATGGTTTACAACAGAAACTAACCAACCCGCTTTCAAAGAGCTCCACCTCAAAGTGAGTTGCCTTAATCCTCTTCTCTTGTTCTTTTGCCCCAGCCAATTTCTAAACATCAGTTTGGATATGGCATTGACACTGTTAATGAAGCAGGAAGTCCCCAGGGCAGGAAACATGGTCTTTCACCTACAATTACACTGGAACAATTCTACATATATCTATAACATAATCACACACCTGTTTTTACTAGCTCCAACATATTTCAGTTTTTTGTAACTTCCTCCATTTTGCAGAAAACTTAGTTTCTGGGGTAACTACATGAGAGGTCTTCCTGGAAGTGAGTTAGCTCTATGGAGCATGATAAAGACTTGTGAAAGCTGAACTGAGATTTTGCTTTTTTTAAAAGGATATAAAACATGAGAATCTGGATGAGTCAATGATGCCCAGCACACAGAATTCACCTTCAGACAGAAGACAACATACTATTTTTGTGATCTTTCGTTCAATTCATGAAAGGGTATTTCCACAAAAAATGACATAAAACTATGGGCTGTGCTCACTAAATAGTCCAGTAACATGGCACGAGCATTTTAGCCTCATATTCCTCTTAAATGTAAGAGACAGAGCAGCATTGAGAAGTCTGTCCAAACATAGACTGAGGCACCGAGCACATCCTATTTAAGACATCATCCTTTGAGCATGAAAAGATTATGAAAGCTTGTTTTAAATATGCTTCATGTTCAAGGATAAACACATTTTCCCAAAACTACTTGTAAAAGGCATGCAAGTCTTAGCTTCTGGCCCTCAACATCAATTTTGTCATGTACAGTCAAGCACAACTCCAAAGCAAGCGCTATCCTTTGAAGTAGATACTTCTACGTAGTCTTCCGTTGCAACTACATCATAACATTCCTGAGAACTAACATTTGTACTGAGGACTTTCAGAAACAAGTTTACTGTGATTCTGCATTTATCCAATCTTCGTATTGATAGATTCTTCCATTCTCTGCTCCTAACCCCTTCCCCAACCCTCATGCACTTCTACCTGTGCCTCCCAGGAGCAGTGTTCTGGGAATGCTACTACCAAAGGAAGCAGTAACAAAACACAGTACTTTGCGGTTTGTGAAGTAGAGGTTGTCATACATCTCCACAGTGAGAGACTCCTTCCCCAAACCACTGAGGTTGATGATACCATATTTACATCCTCCATGTTCTACATCGTTCACAGTGAATATCCGTTCACAAGCAACATCTGCCTGTAAAATAAAAGCTTACTGGTCACACTTACTGAAAACTTACAGGAAAAAATAGCTTGAGGGAGGTCTAAAATGAAACAACACATTAATTCTCATCCCTTTAACACCATCTGCTTTCCATTCATCTCTAAAACCAGTGGCCAACTCCCTTTTTTTTGTATGCATGCACAGGAAAAACCTGAATAAGAAAAGGATTTAGTCCTTGAGTAACAATAAATACTCTTTCCAATTATATCACTTCTAGACACTTCTAGATCTGGCTGATTAGTAAGCACAGAATGGTACTGGTAGAGGCCTCAAAAATTTAAACCTTATCAAAAGTCAACGTGCAATTCTCCTGCTGTTGGATCACAGCAAAATAGGCTGGTGCCACATTTCAACTTTTCCTCTGTGACGTTGAGTTTCTGACTCCCTTCTGGCTTCAGCTACCTATGCAGTACTCTGTTTACAAGGCCAGGAGCTGATCCTGGAGAGCTTCCTACATAGACTATGGAAGATATTTGCTCCGGAGACCTCTCCTGCACATACAGTACTATCAAAACCAGAGGAAATTGCTTTCAGATCATGAGATGTAACATGATTACTGATGTTTACATAGATTCACTGGACCACAAACCACACCCAAATGCTTCTCTTCCATTTTGTTTTTCTTTCTCTTAATCCTCTCCACTCCCCCTCCCAGCCCCACACTAATTATCCACTCAACTCCTGTTGTTTTTTTTTTCCAGGAGAACGTGTTGATAAGCTTCAAAAAAACACTAAATGCAAATAGTTTTATATCCACCCTTCCATCAATTTCCTTTCTAGAAAAGGAACAGCCCCTTCCTACCTGTTTAAAATTACCAAGCAGTTTTTGAGAACTGACACAACAGGAATAACGCACCTTTGAATGCAAAATTTGACCTATGGGATTTGATTACAGGATCCTGAATTTTTCACTAAAGATTGGCTCTCTTTATCCTGAAGACTTAACAGTTCTCATAACATACCACGATTATTTTAAAGTTGTTGGTTCCAGCAACTGAGGAATCTGGACTGTGAATTTCTATCTTCCTCCTCTGCATGCAGTTCACTTTCAGTTCATGGACCAGCCTGTAAAAGCAGGTGGAGGGGGCAGGGGGGGAGAGAAGAATTGGGGTAAGCCTAGGTTTAATGCCAATAAGAATAATTCTAGATAGGATATCCAGATCTGCTTCTCAATCACAAAAGATAAAATGGCTGAACCACCAGCATGTTGCTGTTTCACTTCTATAACCCATGAACACGTGCATCTTCCACACTCACAGAATTTCACCCTGTTATTTTGAACCCCAGCACATCTTCAGCAGCAGAAACAATACAGCAAGCCACTAACTTGCCTTCTGTGCTGTTCTGAATCTGAGCTATCTTATGGAGGCAAGGGGAACAGTCATGTCAGTTGAAGAGCATTCATCCAAAGAAAAGCTGCATCGTATTCATAAAGCACGTGGTAAACCAGCATATATAGGGAAAAAACAAAAAGGAAGTTTTAAACATGTATCTGAAATTGGGAAACCTCGTCTTCATTTAAATTCTCATCACTTTAGTAATCTGATTATAAACGCATATAACTATTTTTTATTGTAAGTAATATGTTCTTCTTTGTCCTAAGTGAAACAGTGAGAAATGCAAAAAAACTGATAGGAACTGTTGCACTAATGGCAGAACTTGTGTTGCAAACAAAAGGCAAATCAAGTCATTGTACCTGCAATAATTTGTGGAACTGAGCAAACCCAGCTGCCTTTTCTGTAACAGCATAGATGAGTTCAGTCCAGCCCTGGTTGTTTTCTGGAAGAGAATAATATGAAACCCTACTCAGTTATTTGCTTGTTTATGATTCAAACATGTCTGTGGATCTTAGATGTTTGGGATATTTAGATAACTTTCTCCTCTAGCCTACATACATTAGAATTTTCAGAGCATCTATAAGACACATTACAGCACCATCTCCCTTGTCTACTACAGTAGACCAGTATATAAGTAGACAAGAAGATATGCCTGCAAGATGTGGGGTACTTCTATAAATACAAAAACTGGAGGAAAAAACCACAAACCAAACCCAACAGCCATTGTTTTCACTTGACATAATCAGTGGTATCACCTTGAGGTATGAGGTCACCTTCTGGTGCCATTAGTAATACATTAGATTCTTATTATACACCAAAATTTCTATCACAACAAGATTGCTATTAACTATGCAGTCTTACTGCTGAACTAAACTACTTTTCCAATCATGATTTTTTTTTTTCATTTCATGCAAACACTTTTTGGGGAGACTGAAGAGCTGCCAGTCAGAGAGGAACCTGGGGGTGCTGACTGACAGCCGGCTGGACAGGAGCCAGCAGTGTGCCCAGGGGGCCAAGAAGGCCAATGGCATCCTGGCTTGTGTCAGCAATAGCGTGGCCAGCAGGGACAGGGAAGGGATCTGACCCCTGTACTGGGCACTGGTGAGGCCGCCCCTCGATTCCTGTGTTCAGTTTTGGGTCCCTCACTACAAAAACGACATTGAATGACTCGAGCGTGTCCAGAGAAGGGCAACGGAGCTGGTGCAGGGTCTGGAGCACAGGTCGTACGGGGAGCGGCTGAGGGAACTGGGGGGGTTTAGTCTGGAGAAGAGGAGGCTGAGGGGAGACCTCATCGCCCTCTACAGCTCCCTGAAAGGAGGGTGCAGAGAGCTGGGGTGAGTCTCTTTAACCAAGTAACAAGCAATACGACAAGAGGGAATGGCCTCAAGTTGCACCAGGGAAGGTTTAGACTGGATATCAGGAAGCATTTCTTTACAGAATGGGTTGTTGGGCATTGGAATGGGCTGCCCATGGAGGTGGTGGAGTCCCCATCCCTGGAGGGGTTTAAGAGTCAGGTTGACGTAGCACTGAGGGATCAGGTGTAGTCGGGAACTGTCAGTGTTAGGTTAATGGTTGGACTAGATGATCTTCAAGGTCCTTTCCAACCTAGCTGATTCTGTGAAGGATTGAGTACTTTGCAGAGTTATGGAGTAAAAAAATCTTTTTGATAATGCTTAGACTAAGCAAGTATTTAAGAATCAAAATGCTCTATCTGGGAGCCTAATTCAAACGTCTAATTCAATTAGACAGATTTTGAGAAGAGATGTATATCCACAATTCCCATTAACAGCAATGAGGCCAGCAGCTTTTTGGTATCTATGAAACCTAAACTGCTCATGGAAGCAGCTAAAAAAACAACAAAGCCAAAACCAAACTAGCAGCAGCACTTTCGCAGTGAATACTGAAGAGCTGAATAGCTGGTTGAAATGAGAATTTCACTACCTAAAGGAGAAAAGCACTGCTTGCTTCTTCCAGATGAGGGCATATTTAAGATGAACTGTGATTTGTAAAGTTTTAAGACAGAGCTTTCAGGTAATTAAAACACATCCCTGTTGGGTATTTTACCCAGATTACAGAAACGCAGCATCAGCAGTAACTCTGTCTTAACACTTTAGGAAGAAAAGTGTACAGGTTTTCCAGGCATAAATGTAAGCCCTGCCTTGATTTTACCTGTCCAAAGAAATCCTTCATAAAAAAGCCGTTTCCCCAAAATATCAATACACTTGTTCCTTCAGGGTCCAGGAATATGATCAATACATTTATTAAACATTTGGAAAACTTAAAATCAAGACCCCACTTTGCCAATTCAAGGCAGGGATTTGAAAACTGGCATCCAATATTCCGACTCAAGTGTAACTGTTGGACAATCTGCAATTCTGAGCACATTTCCTGCCTCTTCACGGGTTTTTTGTTTCTAATGACTTGCTTTCATTCCTGTGTGTAACAGCCAAACAAAAGGCTTCAAGGACTATAAATTCTCAGCAAAAAGAAATTTTCGTTTCTTCAAACAGCTTAGGGAACTGTATCACAGACAGAACTGAAAGGCTTTAGCTTATAATCTGTCCTGGGCCACAGCACAATAAAGCCTAATTGCAATCTTTTTCAGAATGTACCTTCTTTTGTTTTTCTTCCTCTTCTAAGAGTCTCAGTCTTTTGCATTCCATGGCCTTGTACTGAATGCTCTCCTTGGTGAGTGGGTTGTAGTTATTATGTCCAGGCAGTAGGCGAAAATAGCGATTCTTTTCTGAGTCATAGTAAAATCCCGGCAGTTCTTAGGGGAAAAGAAAAAAAAGTGGCAAAACCCAGGCAAAAATCAGATGGATAACTAGATTTGTTTACTGCTCTTTGACATCCCACATCTTCATGGGAATGTCAGAGTTACGAGGCTCGAAGAAGCTTTTGCTCCCAGCAGGTCCCAAGCATGATACACAGACTAGAAATAGATGACAGCCACATAAAGGAAAAAAAAAAAAAAAAAAAATTATTTATAGTTTTCAAATGCAGTACCATTACAAGGTACAAAAAGGATGTCACCACTGGCCAAGATGAAATCCAGACAGATCAGAGAAGCAGAGAGGAAAGGTTTTGCTGCAGTACAAAAATTACTTTTCTTTATAAATCAATCATGAGGTGAGGGGACACTCTTGGTTGAAAGACGAGGTAAGGCAGTCCCAAACAAGAAAAAATTGACAATGAGGTATCATCCAGACCAAAATAAAGTGATTCACTCCCCCAAACAAGCCACTTCTTCCACACATAGAAGAGATTTAGATGCAATCAAGAGTACATTTGAACAACACACAGAGGCTCCTTCCAAAGATAAATTGGGATGAGAGAAATACTCAATTTTAGTGCTTCACCGCCCAAGTAAATTCAGAGGCAGACAGGTAAAATACTTTGACAGATACATAATGGTACATTGTCTCAAGACAAAGGATTTTATTCAGGAGAGGTGAGTGTTAACATTTAATTTCAAGAGTTTTTATTTAAACCTTTACCTACTACCAGAAACTTTATCTCAAGTCACATATTTTTGCTGCTGTTTACAATTCAGCTCCTTGTCAGCATCTTTTGGGATGCAGCTTAGCAGAAGCAACCAAGATTTATTCAGGTCAACAAAAATATAAAGATAGTGAATGAATCAGTAAGGTTCATAAAAGTACACTGCATTTAGTATATAGGATCTAATTACACAGTAATAAATGTTTTGCAGTATACATCTCCTAACATGCTCACAATTTCTTAAGCACAAAAGGGTGCTATACAAAAAAAAAAAAAAAGTCTCTCTAAACTCTGTCTCTCTCTGCATTAAGAGGTTATAGAATCAGGGGTGTTTCAGGACTGTCCCATTGTGGATAAATATACATTCCCAGAGCCTTAGCTTTTGCTAGGGTTATTTAATAAGTCAGGAAAGCAGAATGCAAATGGGACATCTTCCTCAATAGCCCTGCCACTGAATCATCTAGTTTCACCAGTCAACTCCCTGAAAATGAACAAACATTTAGCCAGACTGTATTTCTTACAGACTACAAAATACACTGAAGGCATAGAGAGAGATGTTCCCCCACCCCAGAAGTGGTGGATCGTGTCTTACAAAAGACTAAATAACTGGATGCAAGTTATAATTTTTTATATGCTCTTTTATTTTCTTTGCTTATTTAATATTTCTGTTGAAAGATATATAATACCTTCAGCATGTATAAGAAAGGAAACAAAGTTAATTTTCTTCCCAAAGCAACATTTCTGGTGGGAGAAATAGAATTCTCCTTTTCCAGTTCACACCAGCTTGGCTAAGCACATTAAGTTTTCAAACATACAAAGCACCTGTGGGCCTGAAAGTGCATTTGGCTCTGCTTCCTAGAGCCTCATTTACTAAATTTTTTTGTATCACCTGATGTTACTTTTCCCTACAAACTTTACTGCTTATATCCTTCCTGTAACACCATACTATTAATGCAGCTACTACTACTTTACAGTCAGCACACAATATAGACATTGGTGTTTGACCCACAAACACATTCTCTTACCTGGTACTACAGAGTTCTGTGTTAAACTAGATGAAGAAGGATTTCCACTGCTGCTGGGGCCTGCATTCACTGGGGTCTGTGGTTCCTCCTGTTCCAGCCTAAAAAAATAGCATTGCCTTCAAGACAGGTTTACAGTTGTCCTACACATCTCTCCCACAAAGAACCTAGAAAGCAGCTTGTTACTGACATTAATGGAGTACAATTTTGCAGCGCTGTGATAAGCACACTGTGCATATCACCATACACTAAACCATGAAGATGAAACAGTACAAATATTCAGCTTATAAACCTCTCAAGAACATTAGAGTCACCAACATCTTAAAAGACTTAACTACTTGCTAAAATACTAGAGGTGGCTGCTTATTCTACAAGTGCTTTTACCTTTCCAATAAAAGATTAATTCTGGGCATTTTACCATATCCCCAACTAAAAGAAAAGGCCCACCCTTGAAAGCATGTAAGTCTTCACAGTGTAAAGTAAGAGACAGTGTGGGTTAAACACTGATGTCAGGTCAAAAATATCTTGCTTTCTCTTCATGACAAGAATTTCATTGATGAGATTCAGAAATATGCAAAATAAACAAAAGTTTAATGAAAACTCCAAGAAAAAAACCTCTTTGCTTTCATAATAAACATCACAGTCAACAGGGCAACTGCAGCTTTCTTCTTTCTGAAGTAATTTAAATGGGCACATTCAGTACTGATGAGCAAAATTCCACTGGAATATTTTCTGAATCACCCACACAAATCTTATTTTTTAAGCAGGTCTTATACCATGTCATCTTAAAAGCATTAGGCCAAGATGTTTTGCAAGAGCTGTAATTTATTGAAAACAAGATGACAAGGAAATTCTAGTCCTAGTACCAGCTCTATTGCTGTTTGATTATAGAACTTTGAAAATAGCTAAAGAACTTAACCTACCTAAAAGGGGAAAAACACCCCCACACCAAACCTAAGCACTTCAGTTTAAAGCTTTTTAATAAAATTCTTTTGCTTCTATATTCACTATATTAGGGCCTATTTACATTTCTAACTTTTCTTACACAATACTAGTAATGGGGCAACTTAAATATATATATGTATGTGTCATCTCCTCTAAAAATATGTTTTAAAAAAAATGCTTAGAGCATTAAATCAAAGGATTGGCCTCTTTTATTCCTTCCTGTAAGAGAGACTAAGGAAAGAACCGAGCAAAGAGCCATAAAAATAGCTCAAATACAGGCAAGAATAAGTTTAAAACATAGTTTTCTGAAAGAATCAGTTTTCAATTCAGTGGGCTATTCCTGAGACCCTGTTTCAGTTTCCTGATCTGCTAGATGTGCCACTGTTACCATGCTACTAGCATGCTTTCAAACTTTCAGGAAGATCTTTTAATGACAGTTTTTTACACTAGTAAACACCGAGGCATAAAACAAATGGGCAGGTGGAATGTAGTACTTCCAAACAGTTTTCCTCCCTGAACTATCTTTGCATATTGATGAGGGGTTTATGGACAATCAGGCACATCTGAAAAAAAACAGCTCATGGAACTACATCTCAGTTTAAAATCAATATACAGTTGTGAACATACGATAAATTTCCAGAAATCAATGCAATTCCACTCCCGCTAGGGATGACAGATATACCAGAAGTACTGTCTACTAGATTTCTAGATGGCAATCCTCCCAGTTCTAGATAGGCACCATTCTGCAAATTTAATTAGATATAACATCTAACAGCTTAACCCACGCTGAGCTGCACATACCTGCTTTCAGCATGGTTATTGTGACTGGGTCTTCTGTACCGACGGGGATGGTAGCTGTGCTTGCGATTGCTCCATCCATGCTTTTCTTTGCCTCTCCAGTAGTTTCTCTTCATTTCTACCTATAAAGCAAACACACACACACACACACACACTTCAATGCTACCTGCCTGGAAGGGTCCAACTTACAAAACAGTCTCTTAACACAACCTTTTTTCAACCACTTTCAAATAGCTTGTTGTGGCCTAGGGATCAAAACCAAGGAGGCACGTTGAAGTAATTTGCTTTTAAAGAGAAACGCTTTCAAGCCTAAAAAGCATCAGGTCTTAAAGTAAAGCAAGGCAGAGCAGCACTGTGGGCCGGAGGCCGGAACACCCCCGGTACGGTGGCGCAGCCCCCACAGGAGCCGGGCGTTAGCAAGGGCCAGCTTCCTCCGGAGCACCACGGCGCCAAAACGAAGCCACCACCGACGGCCGGCCCGCCCGCCTCCCGCACCGGGCCCAGGCGCCGCGCTGCTCCCGCGGGGACGCGGCGGTATGAGCAGGCAGCCGGGAGCAGCCTCGCTGGAGAGCCCGGGCCTGGCCTCGCCTCCCCACAGCGGCCGCACCGGGCCGGCATCCCCGGCCGCGGTCTTGTCAGCGACCAGGCCCACTCACCGCCCGTGCCACAGGCGCTTCCTCACGCCAACCGACCTCCCTGCCGGACCGGGCCCAGCTC